AAAACCACTCAACATGATCTCAAACTCCTTTACAAATTGTAAATAATCAGCCGGGTTTCCATCAAAACACCGTGGTTCAAATTTAGGGAGTTTGATGTTCCTATTATCCCTGAACGGCGAAACAGTAACATCAACCATGTCATGCTTAACATCAGACACATCGTTACAATTAACAGACAAGTCACCATGACTTACTTTCCTGTTTGCATCCAAGACACTCTGTCCCTTCTTTGACCCAGGCATTGTTGAACTTGACCCAATTCCAAAAAGTTCCAGATATTGCTTGTTCAAAGAGGACTTGACCGGCACCAGGAAAGATGAACGGCGACTATCCAAACTTTCACCAACTGTTTGAATCCGCCAGATCTGTTTCTATCGTCAGAAACTGTCAATCACGTCTCATAAACCGTTAATGCCCAGCTCTCGCTACGCTCGGGCCCACGCTGTTCTTAGAAGATTTCTCAGAAACGCTTAGTTATAACGGACGCAAAAACCAAAACACCGATCTGCCGTTTGATATTTCTGTATTGTTACACCAACATATAAAAGGAATAAGCGAACTAAGCAAACTAAGGTCTGTAAACAAATATTACAATAATAAATCGTTTGTTACTTCTGACGATGTTTCATTCTTCTTTCTGAACAGCGACCGATGAGACGATGACTGTCGTATTGATGCCTCCGCGAAAATCGGGGAAGTTGATTTTGAGCAAACAACCAAGAATTGATCGTTCAATCTTCAACTCCATTGACAGCCATGTTTTCAAAAGCCAAAATTGTTCTCCTAAATATTATGGGACGTGGGTTAATTACTTGAACACTTATTTTGATGGAATTTTTGGTCGCTAAATGAAGTGACCTCACAAACAGACCAGAAAAATGTGATTTGAGTAAAGACTCGAGCAAAATGCATGGATGACAGTCCGGTCAGACATTAAACTAAAAGATCCCACGAATGTATGTGGGACGAATGGGATGGCGCTTGATCAAAAGGTTGGACAGGGGTATTGTCCGAAAAGTGGTGGACCGAAAGACGGAAAGATAAGTTGTTATGCAAATCCTTTTTGCACAGCGAGATGATCCAGACCGATTCTTGAATCTAGAGCCAGCAATAAATATGCATAGTCCTGGCACGAGCAGGGGGTATTTAGATTCGTGATATATAGGCGAAATGCTAACTAGCGCGCCACGCCCCTCCCCTTTTTTGATTTTAGCCTCTGAGATATTCGTAGAAGCTCTTATAGTAGTTGGATAGCGATTTCGTAACCATTTTAGTTACACACTATGTGGTATTTTCACCCGCTATCATTTTTTATGACTGATTTTTCCCAGAAGTTCTCCGGATACCTCGATGCATGAGGGCGTTCCAGACGTAGCAATCTGCCAGAGGTTAGAAATCTAAGGGGTTTTAAGATGAAAAGATGCAAAAGTGGTTGGAACTAAGAGCAGATGAGGGTCGAAACGAATTGAGTGGGATAAAGTGACTGTTGGATGAATTATTCGTAAAGGTAGGCCGAACTGTCTTAGAAAAGTTGCCTTGTCAGCAGAACCAATCTTAATAATTGTAGTCAGTAAAGTGTGTACCTTTAGGAATTGGCAACGCTCGTTTCTCGACATGAATTTAAAGCAGGAAACAAATGCCAGTAAAACAGCATTTAATGAGTTCACTCTATTTAAGTAGGATTATTCAGCTACATGCTCTATATACGGGGAAATGCCATTAGATATGGAAATGAAATCATAATAGAAATTTTAAGTTGAACGATTTTGATAAGTAAGAGAGAATCAGTAGTTTTTCATTAAAAGTTGTCAGTTTCACCTCGGACTGTGGGGCTTTAGAAGGGGAGTTAATCTAGAGAGGATCCTTTACAGTAAAACTGCACTTGAGGGGAACAATAGGGAGAAAATTATAATTCTGGAGGAAGACGCGTAGGGAAAGTAATAAAAGAGTTTAGCCAAAATCTCCATTCAGACCAGCAAAAGACAATCATATTTCTTCTTTGGAGCCAATGGCATAGGCCGTACAATTAGAAGTGCTTATCGCCGGGTTTCTTAACAGTGGTTCATTCATAGTTCCATTCTATTTTATCTCGTGAATGCAGAATGAAGACTTGCGTTAACAAGGATTCCAAATTCACCTACGTCATAATATTTTGTTAACACTTAGTCTTTTATATACCGCTGATGCTGCTGGAATCCACAAGAGGAAGACTAACTTATGTGTTTAAAAGAAGTTGGTTCAGACGCTTTCCCCACCATGGGCGTCAAGGTTTCAATGATCCTTAATTCGCTGGGTAAATTTCCTCGGTTTCATTGGATACTCTACTTGTTGGTGCATTTTATGCTAACCATTCAGATCTTTGAGGCCAATTTCCACTGAAATACCACTTATATACTTCAAAACAATCTTTTTGTCTACGTACTATTATACACTTTATCTTAACTACCTAAGCATTTAATAAACCTAAAACTTGCTGTTTTATTAGTATTCGTCGCTTGCTTAAAGTTCGGTTGCTCTGGGGAGAAAAACGAAACAACACCAATGTTTGAAAAAAGCCATATTTTCATCGAAAACATATTTTCCATGCTTAGACCAATACGGTTAGCATTAAACATTGCGAACATTTACTGTCACTCCAGGGAGTCGACATCTCCTTCTTGTAAATATATTGTAAGTGTACTTTCGATGATGTATTACCCATAATTTGATATCATTTTCATCTTCGAGGACGTTCTTCTCTTCCTGAAATAGCTTTTAATCACGTGGCGGCCTAGCCCTCACCCAAATATACTCTATTTACTGGTTGACCATGACTATCAGCAGGAAACGGAACGAAGTTTGGGTTTTCGCTCAGCTTTGATCGTAATCGTACCGGAGGGTTGACAATTTAACACTCATACGGACCTGTTCTGATAACTTTTACAGTAATCCAATAAATTAAGCTTTTGAAAAAGTTCTAATTTATGATACTTCAGGATTGTAATTTATAACACAACTGATCGTGCCTGTAAAAATGGCATTCATTTCTTGTCAACTTATCCGTTTATACTAAATATAAATTATTATCACTATCATATTAACTACATATATACACATATCGTATTATTCCTAGTATGTGATTCCCGAAAATGATTCTGCTAATTAAAGAAGACTAAAAGTTGGCTGAATTTTTTGAATCTAACGATTGTCTTGTCAACACGGACAATGGGCGAAAATTCAGCAAGCCGTTGTTTTTGGTTATTTCAAACCCACGCCGTTTAAATCAAATTTGTGGTACCAAACATTTAGATAATATGAAATTACTCGCCAAAATCAGTAAAATGCTCTACTTAATGCTGTAAAAGTTAAATACACATGCACCTTCAGCAGTTGACATATTCTTCCACTGACAATCAATAGGGTAATTTTCCGTTTTGTTTTAATTCATCAGCTGTCTCGATAAGGCATGTATTGTTTGTTGGGCCGCGTCACTTACGTTTTGTTGAAGTATTTTCCTAAATGTATGGTGTCAGGTGCAGGACTGCTCTTAACTGCCGGTGGTCATGCGAAGAAACATCCCTGTCTACCAAAAAGGTATGGGTAAGTATCAGCTATTTCAGAAATTTTTCTGAATTGTATTAATTGTATTAGTGTATGTGGGACATCCCTTGTACAAGGCGTAACCGCGTTTTTAGTAAGCTGTGCTTGTTAGTTAAATGAAATATATTCCATGCCGTTATGCGTCATTCAAATCATTTTGAAAATGCGTGAATTCGCAAACTCCAAGTCTGTGTTTAGGTGGTGAATAAGCTTTGGTGAGAGTTACCCCAGGGACAGAAGGTTGAAATGTAGACAAACATAAAATAAGTTATTTTTTTCTTGTCCCAAGAGGTTCTTATATGTATTTGGAGTGGAGTTAGGACCTGTCGCTGCAGCGGTCATCTCAATAGCTCATGTTCTTTAATTGATGAATTCCCTACACTTAAAATTATCTCATTAGATCAATGATTTGAATTAATTTATTGTTCTAGAACCTGCCATGAATCGAAGCGTTCGAAGTTAGCACATTTTATACAATGATTCACAAAGCTGGAGAGGAAAATGTAGGGAGACTACCAAGTGAAATGATTTAGCGTAAGTGCTTCATAGAACACAGTTTGCGTCAACAGATGACATCATTTAACTTGTTTACAAGGATTTAAAAATGTAATAAATTGCGTTAACAACTAGAACCGGTGAAAAAGTTGGCTTTAAAAGACCCATCACTATCTGAAATGCATAACACATAGATATGGGAGTTCATCCATACTGTGTTACTAGATTTTCACTACAAAACCATTTGCATAAAACTCGGACAGAATCACTGTAGTTGGTCCAGTTTAAGAGCAATAAATGAACCAAAATAAACCACTCAATCACTAAAATTGATGGTGGAAAACACATGATTTTCTGCGCTTATGAAGCCTTAATATTGTCAGTCTCACTTTTTAACTATTCTTGCTCATAAAAATTGAGCATTCAGCTTATGTTGAAACACGAATTGCTTAGACTTGTATATTCATTGTAAGACTGCCTTGTTCAGTTTTTGGTATCCAAGTCATGCTGAAGATCTATTTATTGCACTTCAGTTATCAAACATTGTTTGTTCATTCTGAAATCCAAAGGATGGTCAGGTGTGATTACTTACTGATGCAAATAGAAAACATCAATAAAGATAAACCGTTGGTTTGAACTGAGTTCCAAGAAACGCAGTGTAATATGCACGAATTGAAAAGGTCTGGAGTGTAAGGTATCATTCAAATGAAGTGCACTGGTGAACTGAAAATCAAACATATGAAATATAAGTATTATGCTACCGAAATATCATTCGTTGCATTTGATTTTTCCTTGTGCTATTTGGAAAATATGTTTTCATTATTGTATAACTTCATATGGTTTTTCTCTTCTTACCAGTAGTAGTATAAAGCAGGATCTATTGGGTTCTTATTAATTAACATTGACAACATTAAGTGAATCAAAAATGGAAAATCCGTCTCATGTAACACAAGAAGCCCTTAGTATGCTAGAAGCTTACCTGAATATTAGTTCTGAGAAAAGGTGTCAAAAGTTCAAGTCAAGGTATGTTTCTTCAGTATACATTAGAAAGTTTAGTGATCTGAAAGCTGTAGAGCCTAGGTTTTTCCCAAAAACTTCATACAATCTTCCTGTAGAAAAGGATGTCGAAAAAGATGTGCCACAAGTCGGTCTTGAGAAAGTAAGGCAATATTCGTTTTTACATTTTATCATCACTTTAGATAGATAGATTCGATCAACATGAGAACAGAAGATTAGATATGCCTGCTGATACAAAACAATGTGAAACTATGAAAAAGCTGTCTCAGAATGAATCTCAACCCAACTTTACTTCGGCCAATCTTAACGATGGTGCGTGTGTATTCTTTGAAAACGCATATGCCAGCAAAATTGTGATTAGTTAACCTTTTTAAAAATGTTGAAGGAAGTAACCTCGACTATTGGCTGAAATTTTAAATAAATTCAAAACAGGAGTGGCATTTTAGCATTGTGAAAAAATGGTGTAGCACCAAGTTGTCAAAACTAAATATAAAGTGTTGGTGGTTAAAATATTAAGCAGAAAACTACTATTTCACTGGAGCATTCCAGATTATTTAGATTGCCTAGAGTTGAAGTACAACTGTTATTCAGTAATATTTCCTACAATTTCTAAAACATATCTTTATTTTATTGACAATGTTATGTTGAAATTGAGTCATTCGTAATTTGCGGATCATGTGAATTATATATATATATATATATATATATATATATATATATATATATATATATATATAGTGCAGTTTCTTGCGGTGGTTGGAAAATTCAACTCACAACTAACTTCCACAAGTGCCAGCAATTAACTTGGTTATAATAATATTATTGTTCCCTTTGATTTCTAGTGGAACATAGTGCTTCAAATGCACATCTCCACTTGCCACTTCTGTCTTCTGCTGCACTTTTCACCTGCATCCGTGTTAGTCCATACTGTTTCAGCTCCTCTTCACACGATCTCCTCCATGTCACCCTTGCACTGAAGTCCCACTCGCCACCGCTTCCCTTTCGGCCTGGTTCCACTCGGGCTATGGCCAGACGCGCGCGCGATGTCACCCAGCGGCCTCCTCAGCGAGTGTCCAATCCATCTCCACTCTCCCCTGCATATTTGTTGGTTGGTGATTGGTTCTTGTTTTGTTTGTTTGTTCCCACATAGTTTCTTGTCGGTGATTCTTCCCGGCCCGGCCATCTGATCTTCAGTATAGAGCCAGCGAAGACAGTTATGGTTGATAAAGGTAGGTCTGCAACAGGCTGTTGGAGATATTCTTTGTGACCCGCCCGCCAAGTTTCTGATCCGTATAGAAGAACTGACTGACTTGACACTGTTTGTATTGAAAATCTGACCGAATTTTGTTGTTGATGCTGGCTGAGTGACGAAGATTTCCAGATTGGTTTCAGGTTGATGAATGTGTTTCTCGCCTTCCTGATTCTCGCTCGATTTGACATCCTCGTCCGTTCCGACTGCCTGTAGTTGAGACAATGCTCCCTAGATAAAAAGTGAATGAAGTAACCTCTTTCAAATCCCTCCCGTTGATGGTGATTGACGCTGGATGTTGCTGCTGTTGTTGTTGGTTGGTTGGTTATTTTCATAACCTCCGTCTTGTCTATGTTCACTTGGAGTCCTGTCTTCGCCGCCTGCTTCTTCGACCAGTTTGTCGGTTTTCGCTTGTAAGTCTTCGATTTTGTGACAGTGACATCAAACATAAATCATCCACGCGCGAAATCCAGGTCTTCTAGGTTCTTCACGTCGGTCCAGGATATCCCTGTCTTCTCGTTTCCCACTCACTGTCTGACGCATAATCCAGTCAGTCCACCACAATTAGGAATATCATCGTGGGTGATAATAAGCACCCTTGTCTGACTCCTGTGTTTACTCCAAACGCCTCGCTGAGTTTTCCGTTGTGGATCACTTGACATGTGCCGTTGTCGTACAGCTGTTGAATAAGGTTGATGAATATTTGGGGCACTGTACGCCGTAGTACTCGAGTAGTTTCCAAATTACTTCGCGGTCAACGCTGTCTGTCGAAGGCCTTCTCAAGGTCTATAAAGTTGAGGTAGAGGTTTGATTGCCATTCCATGCTTTGTTCTGTGATGATGATGCGTAGAGTTGCAATTTGGTCAGAACATGATTTGCTTTTCCTGAATCCAGCTTGTTCTGGTCGGAATTCTGTATCCAGTGCGTCCTTTATTCTCTCCAGGATGATGCGACTCAGGATTTTACTTGGCGTCGACAGGAGCATGATTCCTCGCCAGTTCTTGTAGAGTCCTAAGTCGCCCTTCTTTGGTAGTTTCACGAGGTAACCTTTCCTCCAGTCAGTAGGCACCTTTCCCTCCTTCGACACCTTTTGCAATAATGGAGTCAGCATATCTGCTGTCATCTCTGGGTCCGCTTTCAGTGCTTCAGGGGGTATTCCATCTGGTCCAGCTGCTTTTCCAGCTTTCAGAAGCTTGATTGCGTTCAAGACTTCAGCTTTCGTTGGAGGATTGGTGTCAACTTGCAGTTGTGTGCGCGCTGTTGTTGGTATTTCTGGACGGGTTGCAGGTGATGGTCGGTTCAAGAGTCCTTTGAAGTGATCCGCCCATTGTTTAATCTGTTTTTCTTCCTTGGTAATTGGGTTCCCTTGGCTGTCTTTTATAGGTTTCGCTTGTGTTGATCTCTTCCCGGATAGAGATTTGGTTATCTGATATAATGTCCTCAGGTCTCTTTTGCCTGCTGCCTTCTCAGCTTCAGTGGCCAGATAGTAGTAGAATTGTATTTTGTCCTTCCTAGCACTGTTCTTCACTTCTTTGTCCAGTGCTGTGTAAGTTGAGCTCAGCGTCTCCTTCTCCTGTCCATCCTTGAGTTGAATCACTTTCTCTTTCAACATTCTCCTCTCCTCTATTAGCTTCCAAGTGTCCGTTGAGAGCCATTCCTTGTCTTGTCTCTTCTTTCTTCCTAAAACCGTTGAACACGTTTCGTTGAAAATCACCTTCAGAAAGTTCCAATGGTCTTCCACGCATGATTCTTCAGTGATCTCACGTAGTGTTTCCTGCTTTGCTCTGACAGTTGCAGTGAAAGTGTCCTTTGTGGTTGTGTCCTTCAGTTTCTTAGTGTTGAACTTGCATTGTGGCCTATCCCCAGCTATCCTCGAGGCTTTTAGCTTCACCTTGAAAGTCCCTTGTACTAGATAGTGGTCTGAACCCACATCTGCTCCTCTTGTCGATCTTGTGTCCAGTAGGCTCCGTCTCCACTTTCTTGAAATTGAGATGAAGTCTATTTGGTTTCTGGTGTGTCCATCTGGTGAAATCCATGTCGCCTTGTGTATATCCTTGTGTTTGAAAGCATTGTAGGCCTAGAATTCTGAGAAGAGTTCACCATTGTCGTTCATTTCACCAAGAGCCTCGCGACCCATGGTGAGTTTTCTTCCTGTGTTGTCTCCTCCCAGCTTCGCATTCATATCACCCATCAGGATTTTGATACCGCCATTTGGGACGTTGTCCATTACTGTTTGTAATTGTCTGTAGAAATCCTACTTCTTCTCTTGTTCTGAGACGTTTGTAGACGCATAGCATTGAATGATTGTAACTTTCCTTCCTTTTGAGTTGAACCTGGCTGTCATTATCCTGGAGGAGATTGGTTCCCACTGCATGAGAGCTTTGGCTGCTGTTGGTGACATCATGATGGCCACTCCCTCGGTGTGCTCGTGGTTGTCCTCTGGGTGACCGGAATAGATTATTGTCCCTCCAGTTGATAGTTGGCACCTACCACATCCGTTCCATCTGCTCTCACAGATTCCCAACACTTCTATTCCATATCTTCTCATTTCTGCGGCTACCTGGGAAGCCTTTCGAGTTTCGTACATTGTACGAACATTCCACGTCCCCATCCTTACTTTTGCTTTCATCGAAAGAAGGCACATCAGCTGACTGGCTTCCCGAAGGCTTTCACCGGCCTGTGTCATTTCACTTCCCTGATTCCAGCGAAAAATAAGGTTTTTGCTTATATTTTTAGAATTTTTAATATATTTGTGCGTTGAAGTTTCTGTAGCGATTTGGTTAAGTTTTGTTGGTGGAGTTGCTAGCACCACGCCCCAACCCTCCCTCTTTATCCGGGCTTGGGACCGACCGGCTATCAAACTAGCGAGCTAGTAATCTAGGCGAGGTTGCAATTAACCTGAAGCAGGACTAAATAGAATGGTATATTTTGTAAAACCTTGTTTTATGTAATAAGGCTACTTATTTGTGATGAGAAACCACAAATATCAATCTAAATATTAGTGTTTTTTTGGGGATGTTTTCTTTTTCATGCGAGTTCGAAATATGTCGTTCGTTTTTGTAATCGGTAGTTAATACTAGACTGCGGTATTAAGGTCATACTTAGTAAGAAAGTGAAAAGTAAGCTCGTTAAACCGTCCATTTTGTAATATCTAATAAATTTGAAATAACCACTACAATAAAGGCAATATTACATACACATTAAAATTGTTTATTCCTTCTTAAAAGAATTAAGCAATTAACCATCTACTCAACAAGAGTGGTTAAAAGTGCTTTCGAGATTGAATTATGTTTTTTATGTTCTATGCTTATATTCCTTTAGTTTGTTTGCTGAGGAACAAGACAAATGGGCACGAATATCCCCCTTTTAATCTAAACAATGGTTCACTTCCACCGGCAACACAAAATAGCGGTTTCAGTCCACCATTGGACACTTCTGTAGATCTTGGTTCAGATAATCTCCAACCTGATTCATTATATGGTTCAAGTAGTATAGAACTAGTTAGCTCACCACCCTCTGAAGACTCTTCTCGTGTAGCTTCTCACACGAGAAATGGAAGTTCGTTGGTGTCTAAGACATCGGTGATTAAAAAGGCTTCAACCACTTCCTCAATTGTTCGCTATCATAGTGTCAGTAGTGGATGTGCACAAAGAAGTCATATTATACCTAAAACAGAAGAATGGTCAGCACTTGAAGTTAACTGTCAGCAGAATCATTATACACGACGTTGCAGTGTCAGATCAGCCCCTGAAGATATGCATCATTGTATCCGTATGAAACTTAAACGAAGTGCTCCGAAGAAATGGTTTAAATTTCGTCTCCCTAAAGGTGGTTTTGCGATTAAACCTCATGCGGAGAAGAAATTAGTGTCAGATCAAGGAGAGCCCGCAGATTCTAGGACTGCTTCAGGTTGTACCAATTCAATAGAGGTAACATCATCGTTAGAAAACAGAGAGGTGACTAACCATAATGGTGACAGTATAAGAATTTACCACAAAAAGCCAGATGCACATACGATAAACAAAGCGACCGACGGCTTTCACCACCCACCATTTATAAATGTGTTTGCTCAACTGTTTCCACGATTGTTTCGTCAGGAGGAATCGTCAACCAGTTATGTATCAAGCGGTTTTTTTCTTAGAATGCAAAGACTATCTACGACTAATACGCGCCGAGTAAAGCGACATAAACAACGTACTAGGAAATTGGGTAAACTTTTTAATCAAGTTTCAGTGGATGAACACGAAGAAAAGGTAAGGCATTTTCTTTTATTTTCACCTCTTTTATGGCAAAAATGCACGAACTTGCTTTTTTGTAGTTATTACTGCTAATATTAGGCATACTTGGTCGGTAATTCACCTCTAATCAATTGTGTGACTGGATTCAATAAAGGCATCAGATCCATTTTATTTTATTATAGCTTGACTCCACACAGTATTTTTGATACAAGTATGGAATTTCCAGCATGCGATATCGGTAGCCCGAATTTAGTAGGCCGACCATTGATATCGGGTGTTCGTCGGCCGGGGATCGAACCTTGGACCATGTGCATGGTTGGCGAGCGTCCTAACCGCTGTTCCACCGATGCACATCAGTTTAAGTGATCAGTTGACACCAGTTTATAGTATTTCTTACCATGAAATTAACACAAGTGTAAAAGCAATAATACCTATGTTTGAGAAACTAATATGCGAAAAACATTCATAAAGAAAATATGATTTCAGTTGAATTTTATGGGTAGAATTTGTCATACTTCATGAATACTGAAAGTTTCTATCGTTTTGGTAGACAGATATAAAGATGAAGTTTATAACAGGGTATTCCTAAATTATTTTCTAAATGTGCGAACGAGCAGCAACAGTGGCACTATCAAAGACTGTTGTCTTTAAGAATTGCAAGTCAGAAACACCCATTGTTTAGAAAGTGACAGTAAAGCTATTGTTCTAATTTTACACACTTAAACATTCAAATATTAAAACACTGTAATTTACTATGGCCCCAATACTGAGTAATCTCCGACATTCGTGTCTAGAACCACAATGTCGTCGTCATTGTCTACTGAAGCTGGTGTCCTTCAAGGCGCTGTTCTTTCTCCTTTTCTTTTTTCTTTCTTCTTGCATGACTTGCCTCACTCTGATGAAATAAACTTTGTGAAGTACGCTGATGATTTAACAGTTCCTATGGCTGTTAACTCCCAGCTAGATTGTACTAAAATAAATAGCTTTCTGTCGGGAGTCAGTAAATGGTCTGAGGTCTAACCGTCTTAAACTGAATCCTTCTAAGTGTCAAACTGTTGATTTCAGCTTAAGATGTAAACGGCAGTTAAAAGAAGTCATCGATTCTCATGACAGTTGTAAAATTGACGACAATGATATAGGAATCAAATCAGAAATTAAGTATCTTGGACTTATTCTCTCTTCTTATCTCTTTTGGTCTTCCCATGTCTTAGTGATCTCCAGTAAAATATTCCGCCTGACATTTTACGTTAAGAAGTTAAGACATTCGGGTATAACTCAACCCCTCCTCTTACAGTTCATAAACTCTTGCATCCTACCTATTCTTCTTTATTGCTCACCCTTATTCTTTCCTGGTTTGCTTAAAAAGGACTATGTCACAATTCGTAGAATACTGAAGACTGTCAGTAGGGTGAGTGGTGTCCCAGTGGACCACATAGTTAACGTCGTTGTCGATAGGCACTTGACTTCATGCAATAAATTTGTTAAAGGGATTTTGTCTGACTTAGAGCATCCGCTTTACCCTCAGCTTTCACCTTGCATCTCCTCAGGTAGAACTGTATGCTCGCACGTCTAAGTATAGAAATTCTATGATACCATACTTGGCACGTATTTTATGTGATGAAAATAATGTCAGGCAAGAATTAACTAACCTTTTTTCATCTAGCAAATAAACAATTTCCTCCATCCATCCTTATATACCTTCAAGTCTTACTTTTATTACTTCTATTATATTTATGGTCCTGTTACTTCTCTGTTTTACTCTCATAATTGCAAACACCAACTTATCTCCATGACGGCTGTAATCTTTGTTTTTCCCCTCACCATATCATGTAAAGAGAACATTATATTCAATATTTTTAAACATGTTAGGATTCCCATACCACATTGCCAATACTGTGTGACACAATCCAACGGCAATTTTCACTTGTATTCTTATTATTATTACCCTAGCTGTTATCATTATTATTGCTATTTCCATTTTATATGCTGCATGTTTTTGACAATACCTCTATTGCAAATATGGAAAATTTTCTGTGTGGTTAATTTTTATTTATAATTTGATGAAACTAGATGCAATATTGTGATTAATGCTGAAAATTCCATTCTGTATCACAAGTACTGTTTTCGGAATAAAGTAAACTATTATTATTGTTATTAAGAATTATGTACTAAAATTGGTTTATTTTGTTCCAGTTCCATTTACTACCATTGTATACCAAACGACGTCCATCTGAACTATCTGATCAAGAAAATAAAGAAAAAAAAGATGTCTTCACAGTCAGGCAATTAGAGTCGACTACAACAAACATTCCGAATGATTTATCGAAAACAATGCCTACAAAAAATGAATTGTCTAGCTCACCAACAATGAATTCTAAGACATGGCCAGTTTGTTCACCGAATTCAAAAATAGCTACTGAAGTTGCACGTCTTTATCAAGGATTAATTGAAACAATAGAAGATGCCAAATTAATTGAATCCACTTTCCACACGTGGGGCCAATTTTCTATTAGAAAACCCCAGTATTACAGCAAAGATTATTTACCTGTGAGTTTGTTTGTTTAATTAATTATCCATCAGCTCATTCGTGATCAGCTTTTACAGAAATATTTTGTTACCTTAACTTTTTAAAAATTTTTGTTCATTCTCTGTCATCTCGTTTTAAATATGAAGGTGGTTTTTCTGTGCTACTGATTACGTACACAAGAGATCAGAAGTTTGATTGATGATAATTTGTTTGGTTTCAGGATAGATTTCACGAAGAACTGGTATCAGTGAAAAAAACTATTGCAAATTAAGGGCCAGTGGATAGCTTTTCCATCACGAAGACTTACAAACCAGGACGAATCAAATGTTCAGGTTTCCAGTTGTTATCTAAGTGATGGTGGTACGGTACTTTACTAAATCTACCATAAAGTTGAACAAATCTCACTAACCAAACTTCCAAATATCAGTCCATCACTCACTGATTAGTAACTACTTTTAAAACAAAGCTTTTAAGGTTATAGTAAGATGACGTCGCTGGTTGGATCCGCCAACTCGTATGTGTAGACATATAATTGCCAGTGATATCGATTGTGACTGTACTACAGTATCGTGAATTGTTATAAGTTAAAAGTTATGGGTCTCTGGTCTCGTAACTTGAAGGTTCTCCGCTTGACAGCTCGAGGAATAGCCATGGATGTGTACTGTTAAAACAGGAACAACCTGCTGGTGCCCCCGGGATCATGACAGTCCTCTCATTGTTGTTGGTTCACGATGAAACTTACTATGTCACCAAGAATTGTTGAGTGCGTTAATAAGTAAGCAATAAAAAGCGTACACTGAATACAGTAAAGTTACAGTACATTCTTTTCAGTTAACCAGTAGATTTGGACTAGTATAACTGCAAAACACCGAAATATGAGTTCTAGAATGGTATAAATTATCTACAATACAAAATAATAACACTGAACCCTCTGTGTCTAATTGAGTACACTTGACTTTCTAAAATAATGCAAATTTTCTGTCCACTTTATGAAAATTATTGTTTTAACATTCTGTAATGTCATTGATACACCAGCTTAATCCTACATTAGTAAGTTGTGACTCTTTAACAATGATCAATGTGAAGTGCTAATTAAATTTTTTTTTTTCAGAAAGTTCATTTCCGGAAAATTAGTGACAGAAGAGTGCATATATATTAATATTTTTATCATTTAGTAAATAGTACCCACCAGTTGAGAGGATTGATAAAGTGTTCAGTTGTCTCACAAAAACCCATTATTCAATATATTACACTGAAGTTTTTTTCTAATATGTATTTTATCAACTAACAATACCCTGGAAGTACTTTGAACAATACTGTCCATACAAATCAGTTTCTATAACACACAAGGGTTTGTCAAAAATCAAATGATTTTTTACAGTACGCACTCACCGGGTTTGAACCCAGAACCTTCTGGTTACAAGGTGAGCTAGCTCGTAGACCGTTGAGCCACTGGGACCCGATCTAATAGTTCTTGAATTCTAACTTCTGCCAATTCACGACATAGCGTGACCACTTCGCAATGCCTTCTTCGACTGGTCACGGCTTCCCACTAGAACCTCAGGTTAACTGCCTGGATAGGGCCATTCGCTAGTGAGCATCAGATTAAGTTTCAATTATTGGTTTTGTAGGGAATTTGTTTGATTGCATGGAGGATTTCATCATGAGCTGACACCAGTCAGAGAACCACTGGAAAACCTGGGAGCACTGGACAGCTGTTTCGTCCTACTTTGGGACTTTTCAGCAGTACGCATACGCCGCCAGGGTTCGAACCCAGGACCTTCTGGTTACAAGGCGAGCTCGTACACCATTCAGCCAATGGGACCCAATCCAATAGTCCTTGAATTCTAACTTTTACCAATTCACGACATAGCGCGACCATTTTGGAAGACATGAAAAGATTAGCTGTCTTTGATCATAAGTGCCTACTTTCTATTTCCCGTGTGAAATGGTATAATAAGGTGAGTTCTAGGTAAGCAGGTTAAATCAATCGACGAAGTTGTGAAGTTACATAGACTGAGATGGTTAGGACATGTGTTACGTATGCCTAGTCATCACCTTCCTCGACGGGCTATGTTAGCTGACATAGGGTCAGGCTGGAAAAGAGCTGGCGGAGGTCAAGCCAAAACATGTCACCGGTCAATGAAATCTACAACAGCTAGTCTAAGCCACGTAGGAAGGTGCAGACATCCTGGTTGGGGTCCTCGGGACGGTAAAAACCAATGGTTGGAAACAATTGGCAATGAGGCTCAAAATCGTTCTCAATGGCGCAGCTGCATCCAGTCCTTGTGACTTATGATTTCCAATGAAACTGTTTTGTTCTTAGTTATTACTATTCCTTTATCTCACACCTCTGTTTACTGTCTCTATTATGCATTTCTTCTACTTTCTTCTGTTGCTTTGTGTGCTACACGGAGTGTGGCGACTTGAACTGCTGCACATATGTGCAAAGTTCTATGTCGAAAACAGACAGACAGCGACCATTTTCCAATGTCTTGTTTGATGAGTTACTGCCTCATCTTCAACCTGCTGTACCCTACCGATCACGGCTTCCCACTAGAACCTCAGGTTAACTGCCTGAATAGGGCCATTCGCTAGTGAGCATCAGATTAATTTTCAATTATTGGTTTTGTAGAGATTTCGTTTGATTGCATAGAGCATTCCAGTGTTTCTCTAACTGATGTCATCTCATGATGAAATCCTCCATGCAATATCTACTCATTTCCATAATTCAGTGGGGTTTCTAAGTATATCTGTAAATTGTAGCAATGAAAAATTTGTTTCTTAATAACAAGTTGATTAATGGTCACGAGTTGATTTCTTATCTTTTTCTTTGTCCTTCTTATACGATCTTAGCGGTAGTTTATTATCTATCACTTATTAATGAATAGAACTATCTTGGTTGTTCTGCACTTCTTTTTCAAAGGTCTTTTTCTATTTTCATTACTTTAAAGACTTTGAGAGCGTGAAATATCTTGAAAATTCGTAAAGCACTCAAAACTGCTCTACTTTAATACCCACATGAGATTGAAATAAAAAAGTATTATAAGCAGAATACGATATGGCCTTCAGTTAATTCCAAACCATTTTTTTTTATAAATGACCAGTAAATAAAATAATAAAATCATTTGTTAGATTTATGTCAGAAACTAACCAGCATCAGTCAAAGAGAACACTGGAAACCAGGGAGCACTGGACAGCTGTTTCGTCCTACCCTACGACTCCTCAGAAGTGTACAACCACGACCCTGTCAGGTGTCGGACCTTGAACCTTCAGGTTACGAGACCAAGACCGTTGCCATTTCAGTCATTTGAGGTGGAATTCAGTGACCCATGAATTTTAACTTTGTCGACTCGTGATATAGCGCTGTCCCCAGCAACACCTTTGATGAGCATTCATTTCACCTTGACATGGTGGACCTCAAATGAAATCAATCCAAAATCCCCACAAATCCTATAACCTGAATAGAAATCTCCAAATCTCTGAGGGCCACTCGGTGGATTTCCTGAAGCAGCAGTGGGAAGTGGTGACCAGTGGGGTACTCCATGTCAAGATGAAGTGGATGCTCTTCATGGTAGTCACTGAGGACAGCGCTATGTCACTAGTCGACAAAGTTAAAATTCACGGGTCACTGAATTCCACCTCAAATGACATAATGGTCAACGATCTTGGTTGCGTAACCTGAAGGTTCAAGGTTTGATCCGTGGTTGTGTACTGCTGAAGGGTCGTAGAATAGGACGAAAAAGCTGTCCAGTGCTCCCTGGTTTCCAGTGTTCTCTTTAACTGATGTTGGTTAGTTTCCGTCGAAAATCTAATAACTGGAATTGGTCTGAAATTCTTACAAATCCTATATTCAAATTAGTACTAATAAAACTTGCGAAATAAAAATAAATATAAAATCAGGAACTCTTTTAGTATTCGAAGTATTGAGCAAAAAGGAGCCATGATTTTACTGTAACCCATCAAACTTTGGCATTGGATGGAGACTTCTGAAAAGTCTTTTGTTTCCATAGTAGAGTCAAAGAATGTTTAGGATTTTCCCACGTGTCAGTACAATAGGATTCTTCGGATGCTGTCCATTGAATATACTGTGAAGAGTGCTGTTTATTTTTATAAGTACTTTACGCAAATCCATCAACCTTTTTTGACGAATACTCATCTTCAGGATTAATATAGAATCAAGTAGAAGTTATTATTTTGAACACACTAAAACCTTTGTTTATTTAAACTGTCTGTCTGTCTGTTTTCGACATGGAACTTTGCACATATGTGCAGCAGTTCAAGTCGCCACACTCCGTGTAGCACACAAAGCAACAGAAGAAAGTAGAAGAAATGCATAATAGAGACAGTAAACAGAGGTGTGAGATAAAGGAATAGTAATAACTAAGAACAAAACAGTTTCATTGGAAATCATAAGTCACAAGGAGTGGATGCATCTCCGCCAGCCATTGAGAACGATTTTGAGTCATATCACCGATGGTATCCAGCCATTGGTTTTTACCGTCCCGAGGACCCCAACCAGTCAGGAAGTCTACACCTCCCAACATGGTTTAAGGTAACTGGTGTGGATTTCATTGACTGGTGCCATGTTTCGGTTTGACCGCCGCTAGCTTTTTTCCAGCCTGACCCTATGTCAGCTAACATTGCTCGTCGAGGGAGGCGATGGCTTGGCATACGTAACACATGTCCTAACCATCTCAGTCTTTGTAGCTTCACGACTTCGTCGATTGATTTCCCCTGTTTACCTAGAACTCTACGCCTGACCTCAATGTTGCTCACCTTATTATGCCACTTTACACGGGAAATAGAGCGCAGGCATCTATGATCAAAGACAGCTAGTCGGCCTTTTCATGTCTTCCACTCTCAGTGGCCAGGTCTCACAACCATAAAGGAGGACGGAGCGGACTGATGAGCAGTACACCTGCCCTTTGGTCGATAGTCGAACATCTCGTCTACGCCAGAGTCGGCGTAAACTGGAAAATGCGAAACGAGCCCCTTGTATTCGTGCTCTACCACTTCA